GTATCACTGGTATTTCTAACTTTGATCATTTCTAAACAGTTGTTATCACTGTCTTATTTCTTATAAACAAAAGCACAGATTTTGCTATGACAACATGACACATTCATACACATACAGACACAGACATACAAACGCATTCAGTGATGCTTTCATAAATATGAATAAGTCGCTGTTTAAGTCAAAGTTTTTAAAAACCCTTTTGCGAATTGTGTGTGTGTGTGTGCGTATATATATCTACTGTATCACTAGAAAAAAAATGATAGGAAGCCCTGGACACACACAAGTTTTGTGCTTATTAGCAATTGTTAGAACGGAGCATCTCCTGTGGAAAATACCCTCAAAATTAAGTATTCAAAAAGAAAGTTCGTCACACAATGAAACACAAAGTTAATGAGCATCCTATAAACTAACCGTATGACTGTAACAAATGTTACCCCTAGATGAAGTTACGAGTGTCACAACAGTTTTCCCCTCTCCATACTTTGATTGCCATTTTCAGAGCCTTCTTTGTTATAGTTTATGCATCATATTACATTAAAATACTTATAATAGTATGACTCTGTTATACCATTGATTAATATAAGTTACCAGACGACATTCATTTAAATCAGTAGTGCATGCTGGTCAGACAGTTGTCGTCCGAACACAGTACAACACCTTTTCGTGAATTTACCACTGAAGGTATATCGAAGCCTGATGAAGAAACATTCACGATTTGATATTGAATCCCCGAAAAAGTTCAAACAAACCCTCTTTCTTATTTCAAACCTAGGATAGCTGATTTAATACTTGTTGATACTTTCAGCAGCTAACTTTTTTTGTAGAAATTTATTTCAAATAGGAATTAAATATTTCATTTGTTGAAATTCAGATAACTTAATAAGTTGAAAGAAGAATTTTTAAATGATACCTGGTAGATTTGTAACGACAGAAGACAAGGGCCAGGCAACAGATCGTTTATTAAGGAAATCAAAGCATATTTATATATTTTCATGTACATTATTATAGTTTAGTTAAGCAAACAAACACAGTCTTCTGGTTGGTTGTTTCTCACTTAAAGTTAATCTTTCATCTCTTTGTGACTGCTTCTTGAATGTCAGATCATCTATATGTTAAATGTATCCGCCTAAGCAAAGTCTGCTGTGGTCGATTTTGAAGCAGTCTTGTTCATATTTTCTCACGACAAATCTTGAGAACATAAATATTGACGTAAATTACTGTCTACCAATTTGGCTAGTAGACGGCTCTCACCACAGATTAATAAATATTTTCACCTAATAAGAAATATTCGGCATTTAGACTGACATCTCTATTTTCTTTCCTTGCGTTCCCAGTGGAACATTTGACTTCAAGGTTTGACGTTTCAGTAGCAGTGGTGTTGTTTTTTACAGGCTGAAGTTGCTAGCCTCACATCTAACCTCCCTTCTTTTCTAGACTCACTACAGGCTGTGAAACTAGGCAAGGTCTTAGAGCCCACTATCCCGGAAGAGAACTCGAACTTCTTAGTGTTTGGTAAGTATTCTACTTTTGAAGAATTAGATTGTAGGGATTGTATTTGTTTCAGGTTAGACCACGGAGTGACATCAGTTAGAGAACCGTTGAAAACCAGGGAGAACTAGACAGCTGTTTCCTCTGTCCTAGTTTGGGATTCATCGTCAGTAAGCACCCACCACCATGGTTCGAACCCAGGACCTTCCGGTTACGAGGCAACCTCGTAGACGATTCAGCCACTGGGACCCGATTCAATGGCCAGCCAGTCCATGAATTCTAACTTCTACCAATTAGTGATTTTAGCGCGACTGGCACCAACCGGTGTCATTGGCGGGAAATCCATCCTCACTCCCGACTGGATGGACGTCACTGGTCACGACTTCTCACTAGAACTCACTCCAGACAACTTCGTCCTGTAGTAAGTCACTAGCGAGCATCAGATTAATTTTGAAGAATTAGTTTGTAGGGATTGTATTCTACTGTTAAGCCACCGACTCACAACCATTTCATTTAGCTGTCTTAATTTGAGTTCTTATAAAGAAAGCTCTAGAAATTTGTTTACACATAGTATCCGCTTTAAGTGTGAAACGTCAATACAAATCAATACACTATTCGCGACATTTCATACTAAATTGATAAACAAGTCAGTGATTGATACAGTGCATTCTCAATTACTAGTTTAAATAATATAGTTTCAATTATTCAATTTCCATTTGCTAAATAGTTTCATTGGATTACTTTTAAATTTGTTACAGCGTGAAAATCATGGTTCAACTGATTTTCTATTCTTCCAGCATTATAAATACTCTCAGTAGCATGACCATCGGTCATTGTGTCTGTAGAAGAAAACAGTTTGCCTATCCATTTAAAGATTGTGCTTAGATTAGTTCATGTCTACTCAATAAGCTTATCTGGAATAGCTGTCTTTAATCTGTTGTCTCAAACAGCTGCTTCTAAGGCTTTATAAGGTTTCAAGAACTCATCCATACTTTAGTCATAGTTGCAGTTATCAAGTCACATCTGCATCTAGTACTTGTGTAGCTGTAACAATTTTGAATATATGAGAATAAGAAAAATATGTAAAAACATGGTCTTTTACTAAAATTAATATGGCGGAACTATCATACAGTAGTTACTTGCGTAGAATTAAAAATATTTAGATTTCATTATTACCAAGCAACCTTCAAGCTATTAACTGTGAGTGAAGTGAGTAACATTCTTTGAATCAAGCCATAAATCGCAGTTTGGTATTGATGCCACTATCTGAAGTGGTCCACACTGCCGCAATTACTGTCCACTGTACACAAGCTTTGTTAACTTTCCGAATTAACTAATTAGTATCCAACCACAAATTGTTTAAGGTCCCACTGAAAATACTTTCTGTGAATACACCTTAGTACATACAAAGAAGTATGAATTTCTTGCATATTTAGCTATCTGATTCAACCAAAAGATTTTCTAATGTGATTTAGTATTGTTGACTTCATCACTAAGATACTGAGTGCAATATAATGATGAAAAATTTCCTTCTTTAGCAAACTGTACGTCCGTTTTGGTAAAGATCTTATGTTATGTGTGATCCAAAAGAGTTATTTTACTACTGTACATTTTTTCACATGAAAATAAGGATCAAATTCATGATACAAAAGCCTTGAGACACTTAAGCCTTTTAGTAGTAGATTGTTAGAGCATCAGGAAACCTAATTTCTAGTCAGCTGACTCCAAATATTCAGCATCAGTTCTCGACGCACCATGATAACAATTATTTCAGCTTGGTGATCTCGTCGTAAACAAGAGTAATAGAGTTCAATTAACATGATAGGCTAAACATTTCAAAATTGTATAACACCAAGCGTAGATTTTTATCAACTGGGTTAGTGTACAAATTATATATATATATATATATATATACTTGTTGATGATACTATCTAGCATAACCAAGGATTGACAGGGCGCTTTTGATGCAAAAGACGACGACTGATAGTGAAATAAGAAATTACGTGGCCAGAAGATTCGAACTGACTACCTCCTCAGTAATGTATCAGAGCTTTGCTGATTCAGCTACGAGAACCATCTGCTAACTGGCTGAGCATAGCACTAAAATCATAACCCATTACATCAGTAACAGTCTGTCAATTTCGGGGTTATTCCGGTTAGTTTCACCAAGCCAGCAACTTGTTCCCCATTATCTAATCCAGAACAATCAAAACTAACAAAAGAAAGCCTTGCTGGATGTTTAGTGGTGGAAAGTATTAAACATTCAGTTACATATCACACAATCATGTGATACTTGGATATGCTGTGTAATGACTGTAGGGGAAATACAAGTTGGTTGGCGGCTGGGACTCGTAACTCAGCTGATAGATCACTGGATTAAGTAACGCGGAATTGGCTGGTTCGAGTCTTACAGCAGCACAAGTTTTCATTTCACTCTGGTCACCACCTGTTACACAAAAATTTACTTCTCCAAAGATTCTAATACGTACCACCTATTTTTATAGTTATAACATTAGTATAAAATTAAAAATGTCGTCTTCCAGAACGTAAACAATTTTGAATAACTGAAGCAATTCAGATTCTTACATAGTGTTTGACCTTTATTGTTTTAAATATTGCGTCACGTTTAGTTATTGGGATCACATGTTCCAAAGGTTACCTACCACTGAAGTAACGGAGAAGTATGATGTCACACATTGGTTAACTGATTTCTTTATCTATATTGAAAAAGATCTTTTGACTTGCATTATTAACTGTGTTCAGCCTTTTTAGCTGACTAGTTGTCATAAAATGAATCTTACTTGAAAAGATCGTTATACTAAAAGATAGATGGGGGGAGTTGACAGAAGATTTTCAGATTGTTTCGTGTACACCCTAATTCATGACTAGTAATTCTGTACAGATATCAGGACTTCTGTGTTCTGTGAATGTCAGTATGCAGAGATGTAGACGTGTCTTTAGGGATGCAAAAGTATCGTCTTTTATAAAATCTTACTGGTTCCGCTGATGGCAACCAGTTGGTGCATAAAGAACCAGTTAGCCATAATTACAAGTATTTAAAAATATAAATAATCGCCAGGCTCTAAGGTCTAGAAGTAGTGAAAAACAAAAAGGACCTGAAGAATCAAAAGAGAGATTCAGTATTCCTCTACTAACTAACTAGTGACTTCTACAGAGTTTACTAAGAACATTTTTATTAACAGGTAGTAATTCAAATATGAATTTCACCGAGGATTAATAGGCTTAGCTAAATTTACCTCTGAAACAGACGGTGACTCAGGAGTAGAATGCTTGCCAACCATGTGTGTGATCAGGTCGACGCACTCCCTAACCTCGCTTAGCCGCCAGTAAGCCCGGTAAAGAGAGAAGATTGGACTTATGGCTGGCAACCCCAGCCCATAAAAAGAAACACCACGACTAGCGAAACTCCAAAGCTCAAAATTAAAGCCCTATGGTTCATTGGAAACATCAAGGAATAAAAAAAGCCCTTCATTTAATTGTCATTGACTTACTTATTTAGCGGTTACTGTTAGACAATAATATTTTTTCAGTTTAATCATAGTGATATGGTGTTATAAGTAATATTTTCACTGGACTACAGCAAAAACGTCCATAGAAAATAAGCAGCAGTTTCGAAATATAGTATTTTTGTAGATAATTAGAATTGAAATGATTCACCGGAAAATGATAGAACCTGGGAAATGAAATAAATCAAGACAATTATGTGATTGGTTAGTGGCATATTAACCAATCAGAATGGATTATGAAGGCATGGTGTTAATTCTGCAAATCTGTATATTCTGTATTTTTGTTTTTGTGCTTAGTATTTTAATAACAAAAAACACTATTGTTTTCTAATTGTAGTCATACATTCCGAATGATTTGTTTTGCATATTTCTAAATGATATATAGAAGGAGAAACCACGTGATTCTGAGAGGAGAATGTTTTCGGAGAATTTATTCACGGCAGCTAGTACGGCTGCAGTTTGTATACAATTTGTTTCACTAATCTGTTCAATAGTTTTACACTTATAATACGTGGTAACTAATAGAATAAAGGCATAGTTACTAAGATTAGTAAGTGCTAATCAAAATAACCTGAAGGCATATTAAAAACGAATATATATATATATATATCGCGAAATAGAAAAAGTTGGAATTCATGAGTCATTGGGTCATCTCAAGCTGCTGAATGGTCAACGAGCTTGCCTTGTAACCGGAAGGTGTTGGTTTCGAACCGCCGTGGGGTTGTGGATGCGTAATGCTGAAGATTCCTAAACTAGGACGAAACAGTTCTCCAGCACTCCTCGGTTTTCCCATAGCTGTCTGACTGAAATCACTTCATGATCAACCCTATAGTCAATCAAATCTCTACAAACCAGCACTTGAAAATTTATGGGTAAGGTGTTACCTAACAAAACAAAAGGCTCAAAGAACGAGTGATTTTCAAAGTAAACATCAAATCACAAAACAGTTGACACTACATAAGAATTAAGTCGTGTGTGAGAAGTGGAAGGATTTTTAGCCTGTCTCATTAAAGGTCTTAACAAGAAAGAATTAATTAAGACCAAGAGAGGCAGAAAGACTGAACAAGTTTCTTTTGTATGTAAAGTTCCCGCTTTTTTATTTTGATGGCTAATATGTAATTATTTATGACACACTAACTGTTTTAAACACAGTGATTTAATTTTGTCAAAATTAATATAGTCATTAAATAAAAAAAACGTTTTCGTGCAAGAGGTAATTACTACCTACTACTTTATCAAGGATAATTAAGATATACTTAGGTAATAGGTTGTTATTTTGTAAAAAGACAAGGCATAAATTAAAGTTGTCACCGGCGTTAAATATGTCCCTACTGAATGAATGCGAACAGATTTGAATGACACATTTACATACAAACAAAAATACCATCAATGTTCTTTAAAATTTACATTCGAAAAACAAACGTAATCTTACCGAATCTTGTAGGGCTAGCATTAAAAAAAGACACTTGTTTTCGTATGTTCTCACGTAGATTACAGTGATCTAACCTCTGCCTTAAAGAAATTTATTAATCGTATTTAAAGATTCAATGCGCACTGAATACATCTCGTGTAATTATAATGTTTTTTTTAATAAGGGCAAATTCAGAGTTATTTTTTTTTGCATATCAACCTGTAGTCATTACTAATTATTGTAAGAAAAGGATGTATTGGCACGCTGAAGCATTTTTTAATGACTTTTAATAAATAGGTCAGAGTGGTTATGCTTATTACTTCAGTGGAAAGTATCAGGTCTGTTTAGTTTATCGCGCAAACTTTTGCCTAAAATAAAGTTGAAATATGATTAGTATTTTAGAATACTGAACAAAGTATCAAAAAATACATTTGAAAGACATCATTATTGTCTACCTAAAATAAGCTGGGCTATTCTCCCTAGTAAGAAAAAATCAATTATTGGTGGATCAGATATTTGATAAACAAGCACAGTAGAATAAAAATCAAACAAAAGACTGAAAGTACCCATTGAGTCATGAAGAAAATAAAAGACAACTAAGTGAAGAAAATTTTCATTATCGACAAAGTTACCTTTGGTTGGAAGGTTTCATCATGAGCTGACATCAGTTAGAGAACCATTGGAAAACCACCTAGGAGTACTAGAAAGCTGTTTCCTCCGTCCTAGTTTGGGACTCTTCATCAGTACGCACCCAACGGGGTTCGAACTCAGGAAGTTCTGGTTACAGGGCGGGACTGGGGCTCGCCAATCCAATGGCCGCCGCATGAATTCTAACTTCTGCCAATTAATGATATAGCATGACCACTTAGCAATGTCTTTTTCGATAAGTTACTGCCTCACCTGGTCACGGCTTCCCACTAGAACCCTAGGTAACTGCCTAAATAGGGCCAGTCACTAGTAAGAATCAGATCAGTTTTCAAGTATTGATTTTGTAGGGATTTTGTTTGATTGGTTGGAAGGTTTAATCATGAGCTGACATCAGAAGTTAGAGTTCATGGGCCATTCGACTGGGTCCCAGTGACTTAATGGTCTACGAGCTTGCTCTGTAACCAGAAGGTCCTAGGTTCGAATCCCGGTGGGTGCGTACTGCTGAAGAGTCATAAACTAGAACGGAGGAAACAGCTTTCCAGTACTCCTAGGTGGTTTTCCAATGGTTCTCTAACTGATGTCAGCTCATGATGAAACCTTCCAACCAATCAAACACAATCCTTACAAAAGCAATACTTGAAAGTTCCCTTTACTTTTGCACCGTTAAAAAGTAATATTATGCAAAGACTTCTGTGATAGTTATAGGCAATGAAATACTTGTTTTACGTCATAAGTTAGTTCACTCTTGATATTATAAGAATATTTTTATGAAATCCAGACAGCCGTACTGGGATTTTATAGTCAAATCATTAACTATTTACAAAGAATTATATATTTGCTTTTGCTTTGTTATATTCAGCATATATTTAATACATGGTTACATTGAATGTTGCACCTGTTATAAATACAATTTTATCTTAACTACTTTAGTTTTTCAGATATACTATATATAATATATGTATATATATATGACTACTGCGTAACCGTTTTCTACTGACGACCTAGCATTTATTCGAAAGCAAAGATTCTCTTGAGGTATGTCTGATTATCTATATTATCGTCTCCTTTAGTTCCTAGAGGAATATAGGGCTTCAGCCGCACATCTCTATTGCGTTCGATTCTCTGCCAGCGTTTTCACCTCGCTCCACGTCTGCCCACATGCTCTCATCTCCTCTTCACATTACCTCCTCCGTGTCAATCTCGCACTGACGACCATCTCACTGCTTCCCATTCGGGTTCCACTCGAGTGATGGCCTGGCGTGTGATGTCACTTGATGGTTTCCTCAGAGTATGACCAATCCACCTCCATTTCTTCCTGCCTATTTGTTTCACAATCGGTTCCTGGCTAGTTCGCTCCAAGTGATCCCTGTTGCTGATCTTTTCTGGCCATCTGATCTTGAGTAATGAGAGAAGACAGTGTTTAATAAAAGTCTGTAGTGTGTTCGAAATGCCCTTAGTGACGTGCCAAGTCTCTGATCCGCATAATAACACTAACTTCACATTGGAGTTGAAAATCCGGATCTTGTTTTTCATATCTGAGTGCTGTTGATCTCCACACAGACTTGAGAGAAATGAAAGCTTGTCTTGCTTTCCCGATCCTCGCTTTGATATCCTCGTCAGTTCCGCCAGTAGTTGAAACGATGCTTCCCAGGTAAGTAGGTAGGTAGGTAAAGGAGGTTGCTTCTTTCAAATTTCCCCCACTTATGCTGATTGTTGTCTGTTGCTGTTGCGGTTTCTGCTGGCCAGGAATCTTCATCGCCTCTGTCTTCTCTATGCTCACCTGAAGTCGTATCTTTGATGCTTCTTCTGCCAACTTGTTGCTTTTCACTTGCATATCTTCCAATTTGTGGGAAATCAGATATATATCATCGGCGAAGTCCGGACCCTTCAAGGTTTTTGTGTGGGTCCATCTTTTGCTTATCTCCTCGCTGCCCGCTCTCTATCTCATTATCCAGTCTACCGCAATCAGAAAAATAATTGGAGATAGTAGGCAGCCAGCTTGTCTTACTCCCGTCTTCACTTCAAAGAATTTCGTGAGTTTCCCGTTGTGAATTACTTGACATGCAGCATTCTCGTACAACTGTTGGATGAGGTATATAATTGTTGGTGGCACCCCATGGTAGCGAAGTAGTTTTTAAATCACCTCTCGATTGACGCTGTCAAAGGCTTTTTCAAAGTCAATGAAGTTGAGGTAGAGAACTGACTGCTATTCCAAGCTCTGTTCAATGATCATCCGTAGTGTTGCGATTTGATCAATGTCTCAGGCTACATTGAAAAGAAGTCGATGTTGTGTAACATTTGTAGTTCACAAGAGAGAGACAAGTAGAAGGGGACAACTGTATCCTCCGCCTTTTGTATTCTTATTTCACTTTCACAAAAATTATTTTACGCTGTTATTATTCACGATTCCCTTGTTATGAAGTTATTAAAAACTTAAATATTCAGTCTTTTTCTCAGCATCTGAACTAATTATTTATCATGCTAACATTGATCCCAGCACTCCTACTACTTCGATTAATTTATATAACAAGACATTGATGGAAATGATTTACTCTGTTTTTCACAAGATATATTATCACTACAAAACAAAAGAAAACTGAACGGTAGTAGTGAAAGCCGATAATATATGTCTGATTTCCCACAAACTGGAAGATATGCAAGCGAAAAGCAACAAGTTGGCAGAAGAAGCATCAAAGATAGGACTTCTGGTGAACATAGAGAAGACAGAGGTGATGAAGATTCCTGGCCAACACCACCAACAGCAACAACAACAACAGACAACAATCAGCATAAATGGGGAATGAAAGAACAACCTCTTTACCTACCTGGAAGTATCGTTTCAACTAGGCACGGAACTGACGAGGATATCAAAGCAAGAATCGGAAAAGCAAGACAAGCTTTCATCTCTCAAGTCTGTGTGGAGATCAACAGACAGTAAAAATAATCGATTTCAACTCATGTGAAGTCAGTGCTACTATAGGATCAGAGACTTGCACTGCGCGCAAAGAGCATCTAAACAAACTACAGACCTTCATTAACAGTTGTCTTCCTCAATACTCAAGACAGATGGCCAGAAAAGATCAGCAACAGGGATCTCTGGGAGCGAACC